AGGCTTCAAATTCAAAGTCCACAGAAAACCGACAAACAAAGAGGATTATGTGCACTTTTACTCAGCACACAGTCAAAGGACGAAAAGCGGAATAGTTATCGGTTTCTTTCTCAGAGCGCTAAGAATCTGCAGCGATGAATTCATTCAGGAAGAGTTCAATCATATTTATACTTCGTTCGAAAAACTGAAATATCCCAGAGGATTTTTAATCAAACAAAAAAAAAGCCGAAAAAAACAAAACGAAAGACAGAAGAAACGAACAAACAGAGAAGAAACGAACAAGATACGAACCAAGCGCAAAACGATGACACCAACAGAAGACTCGAACAACGTACGAACCAAGCACACGGAGATGAGACCGACAGAAGACACGAACGACGCGCGAACCAAGCAAACGGCGACGATGCCAACAGAAGAGACGAACAACGTGCGAACAAAGCACACGAAGATGACACGAGAAGAAAAGCCAACAAAAGAAAGAGATGGATTTCGGTCCCAAATTCGAAAAATATTGATATCATAGTAAGAGCACTTGAAAAGTCAGATATCAAAGTAGCTACAGTAACAGGAAAGAAAACTCAAGATTTAGTCAAGCACCATGAAACCAAAAAAGATACCAGCGATGAAAAAAGTGTAGTTTACGAAATACCATGCAAAGGGTGCCAAAGAACGTACGTTGGGGAGACGGGAAGAGGGGTGGAAGTTCGTTGAAGGAACACAGAAGCGATGTAAAATTTCACCGAACATCAAATGCAATAGTACTGCATATAGAAAAGTATAACCACTTACCTGACTGGGACGGTACGAAGATATTAGAAAACAATATAAAAAAGGTACAAGGGGTCCTGGAAGCAGCCCACATCATCACACGTGATACGTTTAACAGTAGGAGCGGATTTCACATGGTCGTCAATGGCAGCAAAATCGGTGGTAGACCAGCAGAAAAAAAACACGCGGCTGATTAATTTCAAAGAATTTTTAGACGGTTACAGCGATTGGTATACTCATTTGCACAGTGATCAAGGTTCCATGAACCGAAAGCTTTGTGTCTTTTGAATATATTTGAATGCATTTGTAATAATTTGGTTTTTATTTACATCATCATCCAGCAAGGTCATGCATTACCGGGACCGGAAGGGAATTTCCGGTGTTGGGGGCGCATTATCGGCATTATCGGCATTGAAAGGGCCGGTAGCAGTCCCGAGCTCAGGGTGACCACTCAGTTGGGAGCTAATATCACCGATAATTATTGTCAGGTGTTGACGGTAATCACAGATGGATGGCACCCAGTGGTCACAGGTGGTGATCGGTCTGTTGCGGTCAGCTTGCTCACCACCAGATAGGTGAGACGAAGTTACCCAACCAGTTGGTTTGTCGGTGTTGCCCTAAGGAAATCCCGCACAAGAACTAAGCTGGAACAAGCCCAGTGAGCACTGAGCATTACCTCCCCAGACTACAACGATACAAACCACTGGGCACCGGCGCGACGGTCTCAACGAACCTTTTATGCCAATGATCATAAAGTAGAAGCATTCCAGATACCAGCGGAGCACTACAAAATGATCTACTCCATAACGCATAGCCCGTATGCTGGCCAGCGCTCACTGAAAGGCAGTCGGCATTCGCGGAAATAAGTTTTCGTAGCATTACAAGGGCGAAAATTAGTGAAATAATGAGTACTTAGCCTGCTCCCTGGGCCATTGATTTGTGGTTAGCGGTGGCTGTAACAACACTTAGGCTGTTAACAATGCTAATTACATCTTAAGAATAGCAATCGAGTAGGTACCAAATGTCATGCATAAATGGACCGCTTCTGAATGAGTAACAAGAACTGATCAATAGGTATTTCATTGCTGCAACAAAAGCTTAACGCCTTAACTGGCTCCAAAGCGTCGCCATTTATCTGGATTTCCTTTCTAATCACAGCCGAGAATCGGATAACGGAAAAACAGGAAGTTGGATTCGCCAGCTAATTCCAGAGGACCAGTTTTGCCAGCGAGTGTTCTGCCGCGACTGGCGGGAATCGTCTGTATATGGCCAAACGGTCGACCGAACTAACCAACATACCTGCCGGACGCACCCCCATTCGTCTCTGAATGTGTTCTCGTCCTCCTAAGCAGGCATGCAGCATGCTAGGATTAGGGGAGAGGACTTCATACAGCCCAAGCGAGCGGGGGCGACCTGTAGAGGCGTTGGAAGGGGCATTCAGTACTCACGTCAAAGTACGCCATGTCCGACTCGCCGTCCTCCAGCTGGGACACGGGCGCGTACTTGTCGCCTCTGGACCACATCGGCACTTGTCTCGGCTCCCCGGGCTCGGCAGCCCACCGGTCTGACCGGGCAGCGGCCCCTCAGTCGGACATTGCGGCAATCGCGCGGCCGGCAGTGGCACGCGACCGCCTCTCACCGGCGCGGCGCTCGCCGCAGATCGTCTCACAACACTCAGCCTGCTCGCGTCAGCACGATCCACCACAGCAGCGAAACACCAGCTGAACACACTGCTGAAACACCTGTTGACGCTGAATTCTCTTCAGCACGTGCTCTGATGACCAGCGCTCCACCGGCGTCAACCCCACTTGCAGCTCCCGAGCAGCGACTGAGCCCGCGCCGCGCTGCGGCCGGTGCGGTGACGTCATTGTGTTACGTCACAGGTGGGCAGGACAAGGTCAGCGGCCGGTGCCGGTGGAAGGGGCCGGTCGGTCGCCACCGTATTCCCGCAACCACAGTATTCCTGTATTCCATTAGCTGTCAGATGAGAGCAGTGTTTATGCGGGGTCAAAGTCCACGGGAAATTCCACGATGTGGCCAGAAACTCAGAAATTTGGTCAGACCTTGCAGCTCGAACAAGGTGCAGAACTGTAGAGCGATGCCCAACACATCGCCCTCCCATCCTTTTCACCCCTTTCAGTCCCCTTGTCCCTCCCATCCCTCCGAGCTGTTCATCCCTTCCATCGCCCTCAGAGGGCCCCTCAACAGTCTCCCTCACGGGTCCGGGGTCACCCTCACCGTCCAATCATCCCTTGACCCTTCCATCCCTCTCAGGTCTTCCAAGGGTTCTTCCTCCACTTTCCCTCATGCTTACTTTCTATCCCAGCACCCCTCCCATCCATAGCCTCTTCCACTCATCCATCCGGTATACAGGGCCTTGATCCATCCATTCCATCCACCCATCACTGGGTGCCAAGAGCCGGCATTGCAGCCACTGAAAGTCGCTTAATAAAGAAAAAAAGTAAAAACAAAGTTCAGTGTTACCGTTGTTTTTGCCCACAGACTGGATGAATGAAACTGCCCAAATTATAATTACGTGACAATTCGACTACACACTTGTGAAGTCCATGCCCCCTGGATTTTCTGTTGTTGACGACGTCATTGGAAGACCGGCGTCCAAAAAACCAGACCCGGAATATATACAACTTCAGACAACGGGTATATAGAGTGAAGTTCGATCACCGCCATAGTGGTGTGTTTGGAACCGTAAACTGCCGAAGCAGTGGATGATTGGGGCTCATTGTCCAGGGGCCCCAGGCACCGTCAAGTGTCGATACTCCATAATGTGTTGCATTGCACTATATAGTGTATGTATAATGTATGTACCCAGTAGCGAAGCACAATGTTTGATAATGCCGCTCTCATTTCCCAATGAGCAGCCTCCCGTTATTCGGGGTTCCTTTCTATTCAGTCCCAAATATTGTTGCTATCACGCGAACCAGTTATTCCTGCACCCACATTCCACAGCCGCCAAATAAAATAGGCACCGTTCATCCACATAACAACCGTAACGTCACAGTCGAGCATACCACGTAAAGATGGTGACGTCACGGGCGCGCCCTCAGACTGGCGTGACGTTACGTCAGCGTCATGGGTATGCCGGGAGATAAGTGGTACACTAACCATGCCTGTTTATTTATCGAATGTTCCAGACCATTGCAGAAAGTCTCGTCCAAACTGTGTTTCAACACAATCGCATATCCTCAGCTGGCTTGAAAATCGTCTGTCGTGAGACAGACATGCAAGTAAAACAGCCTTGCACTGGAATTGAGATAGCCGAGTAGGGTACCGTTTACTTATCGGGCACAAAGGGGAAACTCAGAGGAACCAATTTGTCATTTTCTATTGTAGTGACGCTTTGCTCACCAGTCACTGTCACTATATTCTACGAAAACACAGTCAGCCCGTTTCGTACTTCCTCTATCCCCATCCGTCCTCTTGCAGCTGGCTTTCCTCACAACCTTCCCACGCCCACACCTACCTCCCTCTCAAGTCTCACGCCGTCTCAGATTCCCATTTATTTCCGCCCGCCCATCCAGCGAGCAGTCTTCAATCTGAAAAACAGTACGTTACGGAATGAGATGTGGAAGCATGTACGCCACTGACACTCGTCCTCTCTCGCACATCGCCGGCCGCCCGTGTCACGGACGGGGTCGGGCGGACCGAGCAGCCCACCCAGCCGGCCTTAGAACTCGGCTATAAATGAAGTCGCACGTATACCGCAAACGTTGGGCTAGATAAACACCAATGCGTGTTCCTGACCACTGAACCGGCGGGAAAGAACGTCCAAACGGAGCGACGCTCTGTACTAAATACAGATCGACACGCTCCGACCTGGAGACGGTGTCTAGGGGCAGTCCCCCGCCCCACGTCCCCAAACACCGTCAGTGGCCACGGAACGGTATCCGGGTCACGCGCACGAACTCACAATCAGCCACACCGTATACACACGCGCGCCCGAGCACACACAGACATACACACACCTGAGCCGCGAACAGACGGCGGCCGCCGAGCCGACGTCTCCGTCCCGCGCACACCGCGCCGCGTCACGCCGCCAACGCGCGCTCTTGTCACCTGGCGGCGGCGGCGGCGGCTAACTGAAGAACGTCCGAGGTAAGGGAACAACACAGGATATGAACGAGCTACACGGCGCACACGCTACACTACAGAGGGGCGCGGCTCGGCGCGACTCACGGTCCCTGCGCGTCCGAGCCGACGCGCTCAGTCATTTTGATGCTGCACCACATAGCCAGTAGCCGGACGGCCACATCACGTGGCGTATCGCTGCGTCCACTGGCGCGCCACTCTGTCGTGTTCCTCGCGGTTCTGCAGGTATTGAGTGGCGATACTGCCCACCAGAGGGTCGGCTGTGGACAGATGAGTCCGGCGGAGACGTCAGAGACGGTGGAAGACGAACGGCGGCTGGTGGAGACGAGGGACGACGGCAGGACGTGGAGGCAGGTGGTAGATGGTGACGAAGATGCGAGCGGAAACGATGGCAGAAGGTGCTGCGGATGTGGCACGACCGGATGTGGAAGAGACAATGAAGTCGGCAGCGGGCGAGGTCATCAGTTTTGGACTGGATCTCAGGCGATGTGACGCGGCAGTGGCTCTCACACGGATGGCAGAAACGGCGAGCCGCGAGAGCCATCCAGGAGATGGAGGCTAGATACTGATCCATCGGAAAACTACGTGGTGCACTCCAGAAGTTTTGAGACTTTTTCAGTAGAGACAGTTGTCTGTTTCAGAGAAGCATGAAACTTGTATGACTCTCGAAATGGAACCCGAGTCCAATGCACCTGCTTTAGCGCTCCTGTCACTGCCTGAAGGCCTGCTGATAGGCCTTCAAAGTGAAGGTGCCCAGGGCCTCTGTCACAGCCTCACTCATCTCCTCCACATCCTCCGAAAGACGGCCCCTGAGTTTCCCTGTCAGGGGGAACATCCAGAAGCCAGGGGGCCAGATCAGGACTGTGGGAAGGGATACGGACGGTTTTGACGCACATCTGTGTCAGATAGTTCGTCTCCATGGTGGACTTGTGGGTGTGTGCGCTGTCCTGGTGCAGGAGCCCCTGGCCAGAGTTGAAGAGTTCCGACCTTTTGCGGCGAAATCTTTTCTCAACCTCAGAACCTTCACGAATCATTCCTTGTTGACAATCTGGCCGTGTAGGGGACCCAGGTTATGAAGTTTTTGCCTTTTTGTTCTAAGTAAGGGATTAATTTGAGCTTCCCAGGGGACCTGCGCTGTCTGTCTTTATTGGGTCTGAATGAGTCAGTATGTTTTCATTGGACCTTTTGTCTCTTGGTCTCATGATGGTAAAAATACATCCAGCTTTCGTCTCAAGTCACTTGAGAGCCAATTTGCTATGTTTCTCGGGCATTTTTGCCAAGCTAATCCCAAAATTTTATTGTACAGCGACCCTCCAAGTTGTCTTCACATGAACAACCTGACTGTACTCTACACTGGTCACTGTGACAAGCCGCGTGCGACTTGCCATGTTCAGGGTGACGCCGTTGCCGTCTTTTGCAACGTAGAAAAACAAAATTACGCAAGTACGTTTATAACAACTGTGGTAAGGACTTGTGAAAACAACAAGTATCTAGCACTGTTCATATGGAATTTACGAGGCCAGTCTCAAAACTTCTGGAGTTGACGACGTAAAAGGAAGCGAGGTTCGGAACTGGAAAATAGGGGCTGAGGCTCTCACGCCGGATTCGCCAATAAGCAGCTAACTTATCCCACCAATCGCGAGTGATCGGCAATAGGTGGGATCTGAACAGCACTTCGAGCCGAGACAATGTCCGAATCCTACGGTAAATGTAACGTCGAGCAGTGCTAGTGCCTACCAAATATTTGGGATCTGACGGGACCACATTGTTAATAGCAATCGATTGTTTAGACGTCATTTGCTCGGCAAAGTGTGGGACGGCACTTGGGTTAAAAACACATCACGATCAAATTAATAATCATAATTATGCCCACTTTTCTTTTACCACGATAGCTAGTAGCTAGTAGCTACCCATTTCCCCGACCTTATTGCCGAGTAACACCTCTCACACTCGTCAGCACGGTGTCAGCCACCCCACCCCATCGTCCCAGTCCCAGCGCCCCCCCCCCCCCTCCGCCGCCCTAAAGCTCACAGCCACGACCACGACGAGCGGGTCCACACCGACAGATGCGAGCCAATATAAACGACCCGGCGCCGAGCCCTGTTACACGACACGATGAGACAAAAGGAGGGCAACCGAACTTTTGAGATTACGTAAAAAGTGTCCAGTTCGAGTTCGAAATGGTTGTGTTGTTCAGTGACCATCAAACAAATAAATGAGCTTGAAACACCGACTTGGAAATACTATACTGGTCTTTGACAGCATGTAGTTAGCTGGAAATGTTGTAAAACTGCATACAATTCCTGATTATTGTTGCATGACCATAACTCTAACAAGGCATTGTATGCACCTATCCTGTCCGAGTCTCTCTCGGCACGGCACAGCGGCCAACGGAAACAGGCATTCAGTCTGTGTCATGACGACACCGAACATAACGTACTGAACACCCCCCCCCCCCGGACTGGGGACGTGGCCAGAGACGTCAGCCGTCGGGAGGGGGGGGGGGCTCCGATGCTGAGCTGGACCGACAGTGGGGCCACTCGGCTGTCAGTGGACGGACACAGTCGATGTTCCTCCGTCCCTTTCCCAGTAACACTAGTGAGGTGGGGGAACAGGGGGAGGGTACCCGTGGGACGCCTGGCTCGACAGGTGATATTCTGATTAGTGGGTCACCGGGGAGGGGTATATGTCAAATTACCGGTCGGCTGCCCAGCTGCCGACCTTGACGAATGCGAGCATAGCTGGAAATGAGCTTCTCTTTATCAGCTCTTCTCTCCAGTGAATTCCCACTCAGATGCCCATCAAGGGCAGCGGGGGAGGGGTAAATGTCACGGACGTCCAACATAGCCGTGTTGTGACGGCAAAAACTGTCACAGATAAGCTGAGAGTGCTAAATCCTGGTGTAAACAATGGAATAGCTTCCAAGTTCCTTCAGTCTCACAACAATGAACCATTTGTCCAACCATTTGTTCCACTATCAATATCATCACGACGGCGTAAATTGGCGTCCAGTTGAACGATTTCGATATTCCATAAATGAATTCGCACGTAACACTAAAATCAACTTGCCTAAGTCCATTAAAAAGCCATGCTTTCCGTACAAAGCACACACCTCTCCTCCCTCCCCTTCCCCCCCCCAGCCAACATCCTCACAGTCACACTGTGCTCTGTGGCGCCTACTCCACAATACCCACACACTGATCCCACCCCTCGCCGATCGCCCCGCCTGGCGGCACACCGTACCTGGATTGCAGTCGGTCAGCAGCGAGCAGATGGAAAGCAGCACCTTGGAGATGGTCAGCGCTGGCGACCAGTTGTCCTTCAGGATGTCCAAGCAGATGACGCCCTGACTGTTGATGTTGCAGTGGTAGATGCGCGTCTTGAATGTGACCTGAGAGACGGCACCACGGTCAGTTGCAAGGAACACTGGATTAGTGAAGTTCAGCCTTGATGGCCTCTCTTCTTCAACCGCAAACAGAGTCGCATACATACCAATCAATAATCACTGGCATAAATGTGTCCATACTCGTATAAAAAGCATCGTGGCATGTATTTTGATGAGATGAGTTGCATCACGTCATGTGTTTTGATGAGACGAGTCACTTATCCGAATTGATGCCGACTTATTCAAACAGAACTAGCATCCCCAGGGTTCACAATCACTCAGAAGTCAGAACCGAAATCCCCGTCTCCAGAAGGCTATCGGCGCACCTTTGGCGGTTTGAAGGGGTACTCTGACGAGAAGTGAATGTCGAGGAAGAAGACGCCTCCCTCGTACACAGAGCCCGGCGGCCCCAGGATGGTGGACACCCATTCGTACAGGTTGTCGCCCTTGGGCCCTGCACTACAGTTGGGCGGCGGGTCCAGTGTAATCTCCGCCAGCTCCTTCTGAATCCTGTGCGAGCAACAAGGAATAACATTCAGTGGGGCAATGAATTAGGGCACAGGACGTCAGCATTTCAAAACAGGCTGAGGCAAAGGACCATGATATGATTGAGCGAAAGCACCAAACAAAACACAAATGATTAAGTGCAGCAATCACAACATGCATAGTCCACAGAGCGAGAAATATAAAATCACAGTCAGCTAAAATCAGGGCAATATTAATGTGTAAGCAGGCAATGAATGAATGTATGAATGCATTGATGGATGAATGAATGAATGCATGAATCAGGGAATCATCTCAATGCCAACCAATGCACTAATTAGGTATCATAAAAATGATACATCTCAGTGCCTCAGAATCATCATTAATTCATATATTTTCGTTTGGCCTAAAGCCACACTCAAACCTTCCTGTTCAGTTAGAGTGCAGTAGGACCGCATAACTAATTACCTTTTGGCGCTGGTGCTGAGTGACTTTGAGGCCTTGGGGGTCAAGGTCTTGTTGTGCTTCTCCTCACTCTTGTTGTCGGTCTGCTGGCTTCCTTGGCTACTCCCATTGGACTCGCTCGCGCTAGATCCGGCCCCGGAGGCCGCGTTCGACGACATCCTCTGTAAAACAAAATTAATAGATATGGGTAGTACTAGTAAGAATGGCAAAAAATATCTGGGTATGGTATGGCATGATTCATAGAAAATTATACACATCAACAATTCTATTCAGCTCGATGAGCTGCGTCGAATGGTACCTACAAAAATATCAATTTCGAAAATTTGACACTTATGATGTTCTTGCTGGAAACTGTCGACATCATCATTACCATTGTATCCATTTCCAGTCAACCAGTAACCACACGCACACCCCATAGCATTACACTTTGTGAAAGTGGTCTTCTTAAATTTTCAAATAACAAAATGTTCTGCCTAAATTGACTGTAAATAATCTTACTTCACATTCTGTGAATTATCTGTGACACAACTCACAACTGGTCCTGATATGGCAAGCATTCTCTATGAAAAGTGTGTACTGACACAAATACAATATAGCACTAAATCTAAAAACTGAACATCATGAGCATTATTAATTATTTTAATTTCCACCATCATGCTATGAAAAAGCACAAAAAAAAATATAATAGAGGTATATTTGACAGAAAGAGACATGCAGCTTGTCATTGCATAGGTACAAAAGCCAAAAAGCTGCAAGACAAAATACACTGGTGATCTGATGACTATAAGATAATTTTTCATTGAAAATGGAAATTGATTGTCCAGTGATTCACTAGGTAGAGCATTGGACTCCTGGTGGTGAGTCACTTGTCACATTCACATTACACTCAAGTCACTCCGGCACCTGATATCAGACCCCTCGACAAGGATGGTCTGCAGTTGGTGGGAGTAGCCACAGCTAGCTGAAATCAATTGATTAGGACAGGCAGTGTCCTGCTTTGAATCTTACTTTGCCGTCCAAATTATCTTGTTATCCAGAATTGCACAATCAGACTGTAGGGATCAAGGCCTATTCAAAAAGGGCTGCTTAGCATGGGCTCTGGCTATATCAATCTGCTCATTCCTTTTTTGAGCTATACCTATCTGTAGAAAAATAAATGACATGAATTTTCATAATGACTAAATGGGAAATTTTGTCTTAACTTAATAACTACAACTAAATTTTTGCTAGATTAAATGATTACGATTAATGACACTTTTCAATAATATCTTCTAATGCCTCTGTAACATCCTAAGGACTCAGAAAGCCTGAGTCCTTCTCCACACCTCTAAAGCCCTCTTCCAAGCTGGACAGTTCTGCCTCGGCTCGGCAGTGCAATAATAAGCGCGATAGTGCATTCCCATGCAAATGCCATTCCCTGGCAGCTATTATCCTTCCTACTCTTTGAATTTCAATAGTCTTACTCTAAGTACAGAAAGATCCTAACCAGATAAAATAGACAGTTTTCAGCAAGATTCGGAGGAAGCATTCTGAGTGCCAGTGCAGCCAAACTAGGTACCTAAGTTATATGCCAACAAATCAAGCATGAATAAGAACTATCTGAAAATATTTTATGAATAAATATATTACTCAGGTGCCACTGAAATGTTGTAAGTTAGGATTCAAGCCAGAGGATCAAAAGAAACATGTGAATGCGTCATATTCGTCACACACGCTTATAATTGGTGACTAATGCATTTCAAGAACGCTGAAAATGTGCACCAAGCTTGAATGAAGAATCGTCTTTCAGAAAAATCAGCAGACCCTTGCCCAATACCTAGTTTATAACAATACCAAGGTCTAGGACCACGACAGAGCCGCCATTGCAATCCAACCGGAGCAAAACAAAGCGATCTTTGAATGCATGGAACTCGAAGCTGTGCTGTACCACGTTACCACAACTTTATGAATACGTACCCTCTTGAAAGACTCTCTTCTTCTCCGTATAAGTTTTTCTTGGGGCTACGCCTATAACAACGTAAAACCCCTCTAAATATAACACGGAACCACGCTCACAACAGCGCCCCGTGTGCTTTTTTGTCAATCACCGTGCAATCACCGCAAGCAGCGCCCCGGCGGCGGCGGCGGCGTTATTTTCGTATCACGGTAGTGCTACCAGATGCTGCCAGTAAAAGGAAACTCTTCATCCGCTCCGGAGCTGAGTAGTAAAGTAATCTTGCCGGAGCTCATTATCTCAAAATGGTATGGAGGAAATGAGCAATCTGCGAAATTACCGAATGCCAATAGAGCGTATTTTTTCGTTCATTGAATGGTACAATTGCACTTTCGAAGGCGGATTATCCGAACGTCTGGCGTCCATTCCCCGTCATCCTCAGCGCGAAGTCGAGCCTTCCATGCCTACACCTCCTGCAAAGGAATCTTGATGCCCATCTCGTATAAAAAGTGTTATACCGTTCCGTGCATATATCCTCAGGATACTGAAATCCTTCTCCACGCCGCAACCCCCCTCCGGGCTGGACAGGCAACTTCATCTCATGCCGGCTGCTCCCTTGGAGCGGCACCGCTGCTCCCGAGGGAGCGCACCCCGTAGCCGGGTGCAGTGAGTGCCTTGGGGCTGGGTGGCCTGTCCTCTGGACGGGCTCAGCCCCGGCGACTCACTAGGGTGCCTGCCCAGACCAATGTCTCCCCCTAATTCCTATCATCCTCCCGGCTCTGAAATGGTCTCATTAGACCGAAAGGGCCTAACCCAATAAAGAAGAAAAAGAAGAAAAGTGTTACATCTACTCTACTCTTGTCTACAAAAATGAATCTAGTGACAAATCGCTCCAAGCAATGGTTAGATGAGATGGTTTATATACTAGCCGTGGATAAGGCTGTTTCTAAAATGTAATGTATATCCACCTCACGCTTCAGAACAAACAGCCCCAAAAGAAATGTAGTAATGCCATTATGGCGGTCATACAAGGCATATTGATACTTGACTACGTTCAGTACATGAATATGTTCACTAGTGCCCCAATAAATAACCCTAAATTTGAGTTTCGTCGGATCAGCTTACTGCAAACTGCAAACGACTTGTCAAATTAGTTTACCTTTATCAATATGTTACAAATCCACAGACAGCATAATTTACGCGAGCGTCACAACAAAGTCGGCAAAATGGACACTGGTACGTGCCACGAGTACCGTGAGGACATATAGTGAGGTGGCGGATGTTAAATGACTGGTAAGAAATTAAGCGCAACGGAAACTCAACCAACAAAACTCGCAGAGAACTACGTCAAATGGTCAACAAAGAGTTATAAAATCTGTAACAGACTCCCCAATGCCTGAAAGCTATTATTTTTTATGACAATTTGATGCTGTATCGACCACCATCGCATACACGTGTTATCCAAACAATGACCATATGTTAACCACATGTTAGAGTCAACTGAACCTTTCAAATACACACCAACTGAACCTTTCACAAACGCACAAACGGCGCACAAACGCACTCCCAGGCAGCTTCCGACAGAGCAGCTCTCATTACAAACTCTGAGCGGTTAGACAGTCCAGTCTCACACAGACGGCAATGATTACTGGACACGAACACTGCCACTCGGTCACGCCTGCGCTCATCCCACACACAGTCTCAGTGGATCACCCTAACCCCACCCGCGGATGACAGCTCGATTGACGCCTAGTCTTCGTCCGGCTCCAGGTTGATGTTGTCGCCGAACTTGGCGTAGAGGTCGCGCTTCAGCAACGCCATCTCCTCCTTGAAGCGGCTGCCCTTGCTGTTCAGCTCCTCCATCTGCCGTGTCAGCTCGTCCTTCAGCGTCTCCAGCTTCGCCTGAGAAGCACGTGAGGGACGAGGGTGTCACGAAGTGGAGGTGGGTATCTCGCTCGACCGTGCAATGCATAGGAATGTCACAGTGGGAAGGTGGGCATAAATGCAAAACTGCAACTGATAAGTTTAAATGTCAACTTTGTTTTATTTTTATGAAACGATAAAATGCGTTTTTGTTTAAAGGAAATAGTTCACTTTCCTGAAATTAGTATTTTGCTATGGATTTATGTTTTGTTATGCTCAAAATGATCAGAAAATAAAACAAAACGTTTTTGTAAAAAGGATTATTTCTATATTTTAGTATAAGAAGAACTATATTCTATATAAAATAATGTTTGACGCGGAAGCTTATTACGCGTTGACCAATCATATTGCGTAGGACAAACCCATCGGCTGTAAGCAGCATTCTGATTGGCTGACGATGACGTGACTGCATTCCTCAGCAAGGCACGCATTCCTCTGCAAGGCACTCTTTTCGGAACGAAAAATGGAATATCTTCGTCTAGGGTGATCATTGGGCCGTAAAAGCTTCTGATTTGTGCTAGTCTCAGCGCAAGCAACACAACTGCTATTCCAGTTCCAAACCCCATGTTAAAAGTGAACTATTTCCTTTAAATTGATGACATTTCATAATTTCGTCAAATTTTCCACGTTTTTTATTTCCTTTTGACGAAATATATGCAATTGACCAATAGTCCTTATCTCCCTGCCTTCCGTCTGTCTGATCCTGCTGCCATGATTTCCATCGTTTTTTTCACCCTTGCATATTTCCGCTTCACCTTGGAGTTCTCGCCCTTCTTCTGTCCCTATCTTGGTCTCCTCGAGCGGCGTATGGAAGAAGACGTCATATTCTCCCCTATCTCCCCTGTCCCTATCTTGGTCTCCTCGAGTAGTACGGACGAAACCGTCATTTCCCACGCACCTGTACCCAGCCTTTCTAACTTATCTACCTTGGTCTCTTCGAGCGGCGTGTGGAAAAAGACGTCATCCTTCTATTCTACATATACTCCCTATCTAGTATCTACCTTGAGCTCGAGCGGCGTGTGGAAAAAGACGTCACATTCTCCCCCTATCCCCGTGTTCTATTTTGGTCTCCTCGAGCGGCGTATGGAAGCAGACATCTCCCCTTATCCTCATCTCTCTAATCTACCTTCGTCTCATCGAGACGTGTGGAAGAAGTTACCTTCCCATCGATATTTCTCTATAGGAACACCTTCACCCTTGTCTACCTTGGTTTCCTCGAGAGGCGTGTGGAAGAAGACGTCATTTCCCCTTATCCTCCTTTATTTCCCTTATCTACCTTGGTTTCCTCGAGCGGGGTGTGGAAGAAGACGTCATTTCCCCTTAATCCTTATCCTCCTTTATTTCCCTTATCTACCTTGGTTTCCTCGAGCGGGGTGTGGAAGAAGATAATATTTCCCCTATCCCTCCTACTCCACCTTGGTCTCTTCAAGCGTCGTGTCGAAGAAGACGTTATCTTCCCCATCCCATGTCCCCGATTTGCCTATTTTACCTTGGTCTCCTCGAGCGGCGTGGGGAAGGAGACGCTATCTTCCCCTATCTCCCATCTCCTCTGTCCCTACCTTGGTCTCCTCGAGCGGTGTGTGGAAGAAGACGTCCGCCACCATGAACGGCACCGGCTCCTCCTCGTCATCCACCATCAGCAGCTCGTCACTCGCGTCGTCCAGGTCTTCATCAGGTTCTGCAACAACCGCACATATATACGTGATGACGGAATGGATATGGGAACAGTTTAAAGATGAACAACCATAAAGGCAACAGCCACCTCCCGCCCAGCGCTGTGAGCTTCTGAAGCAAGACACGATTTGTTCAGGAGAATCGTATGGCCTCTCATCATTGATTCCAGCAAGATAATATGTGACTTCGATAAATGCGGAAGTTATTTATCTCAGATTAAGATACGTCCTGAGAAAGCAGGTCTAAATTAAATATGTCTCAAGACAATGCACACGATGCATACAGATCGAGATACGGATATCGGGAAATAAGTTGGAAAATGGTGCAGCTTAAACGAATGCGAATAGACGAGACAGTTCGTGAAGATATCGATCGATGATTGTTACGCAGTATGATAGTGTTAGCTGACTTGAAGGTGGATTTTAATTAGCGGTATATCCCTAAATCAACCCGACGCACATACATTGCACGCTGGAAAATAATGTCTAACCCTACAAATGTTCGGAACACAAATGGATGTCGGTATTTTTTTTTCATGAAGGAAGGATAATTGAGGTAGATGTCAGACAGGCGGCATCTTTAACAAGAGCTATCCAATATGCCGGGATAACAGGCAAATAGGCATCCTATATTATAGTCTAATAAGCCTGGCTAGACGACTTTTCACACCCTTTGTCTTTGATTTCATCCTGAAGGTCCTGCAGTTTGGCGTTGAGTCTCGCAAACTTGTTGATCTTGCTTTGGTCCTCACGTGTGACGTGTACATCACTGTCCTGAAAAAAAAAACAATGACACAAACGTAATGACCAATAAATGCACTCAGCAGGCATTCCTAATGTTCACGGTAAGAATTAACCCGCGCCCACTGGGGGGGGGGGGCTATTCATAGCCCCCCTTCCGTTTTTCTGCAATAACTTCCAAACCACTTGACGTATCAACGCCAAACTTTCAGTACCTTCGGCTGCATCAATTTGAAACCTTGTGTCAAAATTTAAACTTCGTAGCTACCATAGGTCGGCCGGAAATGACGTCAGAGTGACGTCATGTTCGGCCGATTTCGACGCAAAACATTGAACCACGGCAATCGCTCTCAAGAGCTCAGTTTTTAAGCTAGATCCAATTTCTTTGCATGAAAGGACTTAGAGTTGACTGCTCTATCAAACTGCTATCTCGGATTTTCAAAATTTTGAAAATTTCGAAAATTTTATATAATAAATTTCGAAATTTATATTTTTATATTTTTTTTTCAAAACGTTGAGTTTTCGAAAAAGCCGGAATATATGTGACAGAATGCATGCTTATGACTAACTCTAGCAAGTTTTAGCTAAATATCTTCAAAAATGGCCAAGTTATACGCATTATTGCAAAAAAATCACAATTATTAATTTTTCAAATCAATTTTTTCAGTACGTATTTGACATCGTACACCAATATAAATAGCACCATCGTGTTCCTGAACTCAAACTGCATCCAATAGACACCTTTTTGTTGAAAAATTTAAACTTCAAAATTTGACCTTTTTGACCTGAAAGTGACCTGACCTAAGCTAAATTCGACTCAAAATGACCTCGGATGACACAGACGACATCAAATTCGAAATCTATGGCCTAAATGGACCATAAAACATGTGTCAAGTGACCGATGCATGATATAATATTTCCGTGACCTGTGATGACCTGACCCTGACCTGAAAATCAAAGTACAAGTTTGGTACCCTTAAGGTATCTAGAGCATCTGTTCACGAGTGTGTAAACCAAAAATGAGCCTGATCTGACTTGTAAGACGGCGGCCAGAGCCCAAAATGTGAACAAGCCAAAATGCTAATAATTTTACTTTGACCTGACCTGTGACGTCATCGGTGACCTCGAGGTCAATGAAATTAGGTTTCGCTCGACAATTTTTCCGGGGCTATCACTAGACGCCGTTTGAATTTTGACGATCGGCCCAGTAGTTTCTGAGTTAGGAGAGCCCCCCCCCCCCCAGTAGGGCGTGTTACACGCAGACCCCAGTGGGGCGCGGGTTAAGACAATGACAATTAAATTGGCTAGTTCGCAGTGTGGTTCGCAGCACGTCACAAAAGAAAAGATATAAATACTTTCGCTTGACTTGTTGTATGTCGCATTCTTATGGTAAACGGCAGAACATGACGTCATAAAAAAGGCCGCAAGTTAAAATATGGCGCAAGAAAAAGAGACGGCAAGAAAACTTGGTAAAAAAGGAACTTACCGATGAAAAGTTCCTTTCTGCATCGTTTGGGCACTCATCTTCAATTGTTTGACCTAGCCTGAAAGACACAAAAAGGTACCGTCAAAATGCAATCAAGGCGAAACACAGTCTCATGTCGATACTCATCGCTATTCACGTTTAATCGCACACGGCCTTCCAGAAAGTCTTTCACCCCACTGAGACGAGTTAATTGATCAATTAATTGTACATTTTGAAGGATCATAAGACTATATATTCGCTACAATAAATAATGTTCAAGCATGTGGACATGCCACCTTACATGATATGGATCATAGGTGGAGCTTTTCCGGGGAAGTTGGTGGGGCAAAAAGTCGTCAAACCCACAATGTCCGATTATAAAGTTGAATGAAATGCCACACTGAATCAACTCCTATCATTAGACAATATTTTGCATTAAACAGACATTCCAAACCTCTTCAATGCGAAAAAGATTAATTTGCAAAGCAACAAAGTCTTAGAGATCAGCTAAAGTTGGTGGGGCAAAACGCTTATTGGTGGGGCAAAATACCAAGTTGGTGGGGCAGCCCCCCACCAACTGTATAGGAAGCTCCGCCCTGATATGAATGGATTACATACGACCGTTCATCATGTTCAGTGAACATTGTTCACTGTTCAGCGAGGGATGCGTTAGGTTTTGGAGCACGTGATGCTCGTATGAGTAATTTTTACAGGCCTTTGTTTTCGCTTTAAATTGGGAATATTGCCGTTCATCTCAAGGCCCTAAAACATATTTATTTCATCTCATCAAAGCCAGAACAAAAAAAAAACAGCCCTTTCACTGTGTTATTTTTTAACTGAGCTGCGAATGGACAAGTGTTTTAGATCAGTTTGCATCAGACAAGATCGTAGCTTTTTTAGACATCAATAGAAAGTGGATCTTCGTGTAAGATTAGCATCCCATAGTTTCCCACAAGCACCTGTAGTTTGCCTATATCTAACCGTTCACAAAACCAGCCATGTCTGAATCAGATGAAGATCCGGAGTTAGACGACGATCTCGATACTGAGCTAGGCGTGAAGAAGAAAACAATGAAGAAGGCCCCGAGGAAGAGCCAGATGCCGGAGAGAAGGGAAGCGACGGCAGCGGCGGCTTCGAAGCTGGGGATGGCGAGAAGAAACCAGAGCCGAAAGTGCTGCCTCAAGAAACCCTCTGACTGCAGAAATGATCAAAGGAGGAATATCGATGTTGTGCAAGACAGGCGATGGACTAGAAGTGGCGTACGAAACTGGTCGTCCAGAACCGTGAACTGACTAATGTGTTTATTTTGTCAACGTATATTCACCTACGGTACGTCGACTTGTCGTTCAACAAGCTCACCTCGCTCTTCCCTCTTCAGAACATGAGATTCCTCGTGTCATTGAAGGTGACGAACAATAAGCTCACATCACCCAGATGTCCAACTTCCCGTTCCTTCAGTTTCTCGACCTCACCGGTAACCCTCTCAAAAGTACAAAAGGCATTAAACAGCATTCTCTCGAGAAGCTCATCCTATCCAAAACTCAGCTTGAGGATCTTGAGGACATGACTACGGAGAACCTTCCTAACCTCATCCACCTCAACATCACCAACAACGCGCTGAAGAAGCTGGACGGCCTGGAGCACCGCACCCTGAAGACACTGTACGCGGCGGGAAACAAGCTGCGCAACCTCTCCGGGGTGAGCCGGCTGACCTCTCTGAGTCGTCTGCACCTGAGAGACAACCGCATCAGCTCGCTGAAGGGTCTGGAGGAGGACCACGAGACGCTCGAGTACCTGAACGTCCGCAGCAACAACCTGGAAGAGGTGGAGGAGGCGTACCACCTCAGTCGCATGAAGAAGTTGACCACGCTGGTGATCGCCGACAACGCTGTCTCCGACTCTGACTCGTACCGGTTAGTCAGGCCACCACAGCGGAACTGTTCGCCTTCGTACCAAACACAATTTCAGTATGTTGCAGTATCGTAGGTCCTGCTCCCACTGCTTCCACCACATCATCATGCTTGCGGTGTGGCACAAAGAGCTCTCCGAATTATTCAGAAATCGGATTGCTTTATTACCAGGTGTTAGTATTACAGAGGTTAGTAGACAGACTTTCGTCCCCTCTTGAGTTAAGATCACCGACGGTTGTTAACGGTCGTTAACGACGTCTGAAGAAGTAAGCAGGTGGTCAAAACATTTCAACCTTACATCTTACCTAAAAACCGAAACGAAAACCCGACCACTAGCATCCGTATCTTTCCACGTTGTCTATGCGTGTCGCCACACCCGTTTTATTGTGTAACGAGACGATCTGTGCGCATCTGTCGACAGCGTGGACGCGCTGGTGTACGGCCGGCGGCTGCAGAGGATCGACAAAGACCCCGTCGAGGAGGAGCGCCAGGAGGCGGCAGAGCTGTACCCACAGCGGGAGGAGGAGCGACTGCTGGCAGAGCGAGAGGCCAAAGAGCGACCCGCCGACGAGGAGCCCGATCAGGACGATCTGGATAGTCAGAGAGATGACGACGAAGATCGTGATGAAGAGGATGACTGAGATGGCTTGATAGTGGAGTAAAACCGGTGACGTTTGGAGGTGTCCATAAGCTACGTTTCGTGTCAGCCGCAGCAAATAGGGCCATGAAGGAGACTAAAATAAGGACAGAGATGGGAAAGGTGTTGAGCGTTGACGCTATTTGCGAAATGTGACAGATACCCTCCGACATAACATCAAGTGATCATCATATTTGTGTTTGCATCAAGTAACTTGTAAATACAGTTGTTTACAAGTCAGACATATGTTATCAACTGTTATGAAAAATGGTTAAGTGCAAACTGCAAAGACACATTGCATATGGCTTAGCGAAAATCCAAACTGCGCCCCGATCGAATCTTCCGTCGAATGCAGACAACTGAGAGACAGAATAGCGGCAGGAGATTTC